TCTTTTTGAGACAGGGTCTCACTATGTAGTTGAGACTGACCTGGAACTCACTATGTAGCCCAGGCTGGTCTTGAACTCACAGCGATCCTCCTGCCTCAGCCTCCCTGGAATTACAGGCGTGCGCCACCACACCTGGCCCTAGCCCTTTTCATTTTGACACAGGATCTTGCCAAGTTGCCCAGGCTGGGCTCATACTTGCCCTCTTCCTGCCTCGCCTCTTCTCTGCAGCTTGGCTTCTGTCTGAATGGGACGGAGCAGCACTGCGTCCCGAGGTTGCTCCCGCCTCCAGCCCAATCTCTGCCATCTCCTGTGTTGTCGCTGGTTTGGCACATGGTGCCCTCCCGGGTCCAGCGGCAGTGATCCCTTGTGCCCTTCTGTGTCTGTGTGACTGCCCTTGTCCCTGTGAGTGCTGTCTGCTTTCGTGTGGGGTGTGGGCTGTGCGATGGCCCCTTGTGACCTGAGCTGCGGTCCCTGTACTCGGATACTGTGGTGTTGTGATCACAGCTCCCCTGCTCAGTGGTGAGGTCCTTGTGTTTGTTAAGGCCTCTTCTCGAGGGCCACTGCCCTCCAGGGGATGCCAGGCTATCCTGGGGCATCTGAGGTGGCTGTGACCGGGGAGGGGAGCTCCTGGCTCAGAGCAGGAGGAGGCTGGGGCACTGCTAGTGCCCCGGGCGCCCCCAGAGAAGGAGCCAGCCCCATCACGCACAGTGCAAGGAGGTTCCCGCCCAGCGTCTGTGTCCTGCTCACCTTTGGGAGCCCTTTGATCTGCCACTGCCTGGCTTCCTGGGAACGGTGACTTCTGTCTTTAAAAAATCTGCGCTGGGGGTGCAGCTTGGTGGTGGGTGCTTGCCCAGCATGCACAAGGGTCTGGGTCCATCCCCAGTTCTGTTTTAGAGTAGTTGGAGTGGAGGGTGTGGAGTTCAGCTGTCACTGTGCCACCGTTGCCTGTGGCCTGAGTGGAGCGTCATTCATGGCCCTGGACGCTCTGTGGGCATAGCCTCTGCGCTTGGCCTGGCGTCCACATCCGGGTCCCTGGGCATGGGACTCCCTGACTCCCTAGGCCTGGACGAGCGTGCAGTGCTGGGCCCCCCAGTGCTGGTGTCACACAAGATGGTGTCTTGCCCTGACTGCCTCATGGGGTTCTCCTGTCCTCCGCACTGCACGGCCTGGTGGCTGCTGATCCCTTCCCTGTCGTCATAATTTTGCCTTCTGCGGACATACAGGTGGCATTGCACAGTGTGGAACCCAGTCCTGTGCTTCCTTTTGGTTTTCTTTTTTCTTTCTTTCTTTTTTTTTTTTTTTTTATTTTTTTTTTTACGGGTTGGACCTGTTTTTTTTTTTTTTTTTTTTTTTTTTTTTTTTTTTTTAAATTTTTTTTGTACCAGGGATGGAACTCAGGACTGTGAGGCAGGCTCAGTACTACTGAGCTAAATCCTCAGCCTGCTTGATTTTTTTGCGACAGTGTCTTGCTAAATTTCCCAGGTTGGGCTCACACTTGGAATCTTCCTGCATCAGCCTCACAGGGTGCTGGGTTGATGGGTGTGCACCACTACACCCGCCTTCCTTTCTCTTCCTAAAAGCTGGCAGGCAGTGTGGCTCGTGTTTTCCAGTCGCCCATGTTCAGGGCTAGTTGGAGGGCATTTCCTCTGCCTACATGTGAAGCCACCACCAAATCAACTTCAGGACAGTATCACCTTCATGGGACTCCCTGCACCCCTAGCCTGGCTCTCCCAAGTCCGCTCCCTGTCCGGGAGGCCCCTGTCCCGGGCGTTTCCTGTCCGTGGAGCCCCACGCTGCGTCCTCTGTGTCTGGCGTCTCACTGAGCTCGGTGTCCTCAGGGTCCATCCATGCTGTGGCGAGCGTCAGCCTCGCTCCTGTCCTGGCTGAGTGATGGTCCTCTTGTGTGGTGGACCTCTGGGTGTGTCCCCTCCTCTGCCCAGGTTTGAGCTGGCCTCTCCTTGGCTACTGTGGTGATGTCCCTGTCCTGGGCCCTCTGTCAACCCAGGCCGGAGGGTGGGTGCTGCCCTCTGGGTGCTCTGTGCTGGGGGACTGGGTGGCCTGTGTGGCGACTGTCCCTGCACATGCAGTATGGGTATCTGTGGCCTTGAGGCTGTGCTGTTGGAGGACATGGAGGTGCTGGGGGTTTTTCTTCGGGAGGCGGTATCCTGCTTGGCCTGGACAGGGTGTGAGTCCACATGCCGTCTGCATGTTGATGGCGCCCAGGCCTCGGCCCTGCAGCTCCGGGCAGCCTCGGGGAGGAGGGCCTGACCTGTTCACAGCCCCTTCTCTGCTCCCCGTCTATAAGCACTGCCTCAGGACTAGGGCACGTGGTCCCCAGGACACGGGGCTCTGTCTGGGGACATCTGTGGCTGTCACGGCAGGGGAGCCCTGCACGGAGGGGTGGAGGCTCCACAGAGAAGGAGCCTCAGGGAATGACCTAGTCCCGGGCAGAACTGGGAGGCTGGGAGTCAGCATCTGGGGCATCTCTGCTGTGGGTCCCCTCCCTGAGCGCTGGGAGAGAACAGGACAGGAAGGGAGGGCTGAGCTCAGGGTCTGAGAGCGGCCCAGGGCCAGCTGCAAGCTGTAGCCTTGGCAAGGAGGTGCAGGGCCGGCCTGTGTCTGCACGTGCAGGCAGGCAGGGTCCTCCTGGGGTGCTGGGGACTGAAGGCTCTGAGTGGTGCCCCTGGCCTCCACCCGCTGCACACCAGCGTCTCCCAGTTGTGACAGCTGCCACTGTCTCCAGTGTGGCTGGAGAGTCCAGGCAGGGAGTTTTGTTGAGGTCCCTGGTTAAGTCGCATCTGTCCCTGCAACACCCTGGAGGGCTGGGAGAAGCTCCTGCCCGGTCGCACAGGCCCATTGTCTGCCCCTGTGGGGCCCTGAAGGAGGGAGGCGCAGGCGGGGAGCAGGGGTGTCCCCACCCCATCTTGCCATTCTGTTTTTTAGTTTTTGAGCTAGAGCCTCACGAAGTTGCCCAGGGCAGCCTCGAATTTGCGATCGTCCATTTGCTCAGCCTCCAGATGCTGGGCTGTCTGGCATGTGCCACCACACCAGTGTGACTTGGTGTCCTTTGATGGGATTGGAGACCCCAGCCTCCAGCAGGCGGGTGACACGGGTGGTTGACTAGCCTATCCCAGCTGGCCTGCACGTGTCGTGTCCAGGGCTCTGGGGACACATGGACACAGCCTCTGTCTCGGGGTCTCCACAGATGGAGGACGGCCACACGCTCTTTGATTATGATGTGCGCCTCAATGACACTATCCAGCTGCTGGTGCGCCAGAGCTTGGTGCTGCCATCCAGCCAGAAGGAGAGGGACTCGGAGCTCTCAGACACCGACTCAGGCTGCTGCCTGGGCCAGAGCGAGTCGGATAAGTCATCCACACATGGCGAGGGGGCTGCCGATGCAGACAGCAAGGCTGGCCTGGCCGACGAGGACTTGTCTGAGACTGAGCAGGGGCTCTACAAGGTGAGGCCGGGCCCATCCTCCTGTGGGGATTCCAGCGCGTGTCCCTCCCACCTCCTGGAGGCAGGTGTGGCCTGGCCCTCTGGCAGCCCTCCCTCCTTTTAAAGCAGGGGTTGCTCCATGGCCTGTGTGGTGGCCGAGACACTCCCAGATCAGGAAGTTTCTGGGAGCCTGCTGTGTGTCTGGGTGTCCTGAGGGCTGGGGAGTCGCCTCCCTGAGCCACAACCACAGTGGCCGTGCTGGGCACACCGCTCCTGCTGGGCCCTGCTGGTCCCTATGGGCACTGGGTCCCGCCTGGAGCCATTCTGCCCCCGGGGAGGCTGGGTGGTGTCAGGACTGGGGCTGTCCTGGCCTAGAGCCCGGCACCTGCCGGACGCCCACCTGTGAGGAGGATGTGGCATCGCGTCCCCCACGCCTGCCGGGAGGAGCGGGGTGTCTGTGTTCGTGTCTCTGCTCCCAGGCACGGGGGGCCCTAGCAACTGAGACACCCGGGTCCCCATCCCTGTAGGTGAACGAGTACGTGGATGCGCGGGACACGAACATGGGTGCGTGGTTCGAGGCACAGGTGGTCGGGGTGCTGCGGAAGCCACGGTTGGCCGAGGACGAGCCCTGCAGCTCCACCGCCAGCCCGACGCCCGAGGAGGATGTCATCTACCGTGTGAGATACGATGAGTGAGTGGCCCTGCCCACCGTGGCCACCGGGTGGAGACGAAACAGGGCCGCCCTCCTTGGCAAAGCTGCTGAGAATAAAGCAGGAGGTGAACAGGGCCAGTCGGCTGGCAGCGCTGGATGGAACCCAGGGCCCTGGAGGATGCCAGGCAGGCATCACCCCGGAGCTGCTCATGGGCCCAGTTTCCCCACCTTATTTCTCATACCACTTGTGACTGAACGAAGCCGGCTTGTTGTCCCCTCCCTCTGGGCCATGTGGCAGGCTGCCCTCACAGACACGCAGGCTTACAGTCCTCAGTCCTGTTGATTTTTTTTTTTTTTTTTTTTTTTTTTGTTTCGGGGTTGTACTAGTCCTGTTGATTTTTTTTTTTTTTTTTTTTTTTTTTTTTTATGGTACCAGGGATTGAACTCAGGACCTTGTACCTGGCAGGTAGGCAGCGGCACCACTGAGCTAAATCCCTGGCCCTCCATCCTGTTTCTTGATCTTCTGAGGCCAGAAGGCCAAAGGGTGGTGGTCGGAAGGCGGGTATCTAGTCGGCTGGTTGTCTCCTTAAGGGACCCAAGGCCTCGGGATGAAAGCCCTGCCTTCCGACCCTGAAGAATCACGATCACCTGTGTGCCCAGGGTCCTCAAGACTCGGGGCTTTAGCCTGGAGACCGGGAGCAGAGGGCCCCCGGCAGACGAGGCCGGAACCCGGCAGAGCTCCTGCTCTCGGTGTAGGGCTCTGTCCGGCACACTGCGTGCTTCTGCGGCTCTGTGGGTAGTTTCTGGGAAACGGGCCTGAGCAGATCCCATGGGAATGGGGCTCCAGTCATCTGGGCCAAGAGTTTGCAAGCTACAGTCCCGGGGCAGAATCCAGTCCCTGCTCACTCCTGTATCCCCTTAGTTGCCCAGGACTGAGACCCGGGCAGACTAGACCACTACCTTTGCAAGACTGTCACTGCAGCAGTTTGCAAGTTTGAATCCATCCTGAGCAACGTAGTGACTTAGCGAGAACCTTTTGCAACATAAAAGAATAAAAAGGGCTGGACGTGAAGCTCGGTGTGAGAGCTCTGGTCATTCCCCAGGACCACAGCATGTATTTTTTTGATACCCCGTACTGAAAGGAAAGAACTGACTCTTCACAGAATTTTCTTTTCTTTTGAGACAGGGAATTTCTATGTAGTTCAGACTTTTTGGGGGGGTACTAGGGATCAAACTCAGGACCTTGTACTTGTGAGGCAGGTGGTGACACCAGTGAACTAAATCCCAAGCCCAGTTCAGGCTATTTTTGAGCTCACTACGTAGCCCAGGCTGGCCTCAAAACCATGGCGATCCTCCTGCTTCCCAGTGGTGGGATTATAGGGTGTGCCGCTTGCCCAGCTCAGCTCAGCTCTATTTTACGTGTCTTGCGGCTTGTCAGATAACCTTGTTCGCCAGAACGTGTTGAACCTTGGGAGCTTTTGATGACAGGAACAGCCTGCGTGCTGTAGGTTCGCCACCATGCTTCTAGAATAATGCCTTCCTGCTGTGATCTCATAGCTAGTCATATGCACGGAAACAAAGTCCTGCTCCTTTACAAAAATGACTTTTAACACACGCATGTCAAGAAGTTAAACTTTGTCCTCCAGAATCCGTCCAAGTGCCCAGTCCTCTTGGCTTGGAAAATCAGTTTGGAGGCCGGAAGCCAAGGGTCAAGGGGTCAGCCTCTGGGGGGCTGCCGGCTGTCCCCGGGGTCCTTGGGGTTCCTGGCATAGTGGCTGCCTCCCCGTGGTCTCTGCCTTTCTCTCCCTGTGGTCTTCTCTCTCTCCTCTTCCAAAGACGCTGGGGGACTTCCTACTCCAGGGGGCTCTTTTCAGTACTGGGGAATGAGCTGGGCGGGGGGCTTTACCCCGAGTTGCATCCCAGAACAGCCCACCCCCTTTTTAAAGATTCTTTATGTGGCTGGCCGTGGTGGCGCAGGCCTGTAATCCCAGCTCGGGAGGCTGAGGCAGGAGGATCACTGTGAGTTCGAGACCAGCCTGGGCTACATAGTGAGTTCCAGGTCAGTCTCAACTACATAGTGAGACCCTGTCTCCAAATAAAAAAAAAAAAAAAAAAAAAAAAAAAAAACCCAAACAAACAAAGATTCTCTTAGGAGCCAGGGTCTCGCTCGGTAGTTCAGGTTGGGCTTGGACTGTGATACTCTGCCTCAGCCTCCCAAGTGTGCACTGACATGCCCGACTCAGTGTGATTGCATCTTCTCATTCAGAGACCCTGTTTCTGAGGGAGGCCTCCTTGCAGACCCCTCTCTGGGAGAAGCCTGTCCTGGTGCTGCTGTGTCCGAGTGGGGCACCTCTGGTCTGGGGATGGGGCCTGCTCTGCACCCTCGGGCTCTCTGCAGGGACTGCTGTGCTGTCCCCCCAGCTACCCCGAGAACGGCGTGGTCACCATGCAGTCCCACGACGTGCGTGCGCGGGCCCGCACCATCCTCAAGTGGCACGAGCTGGAGGTGGGCCAGATGGTCATGCTCAACTACAACTCCGACCACCCCAGGGAGCGTGGCTTCTGGTACGACGCGGAGATCTGCAGGAAGCGAGAGACGCGAACGGGGCGGGAGCTGTATGCCAACATCAGGCTTGGGTGAGCTGGGCTGGGATGGGCTTTGTGGAGTCTTCTGTGGGCTCCCCGGGTGATGGTGATGAATCCCGGGGGAGGCAGGAAGGTGCAGGGGAGAGTGAGGGGCACCAGAGCTTTCTCACTGAGCTTTTTTATT